TGCGGATTTATGGCCATCGGATTCGAGGCAAATGTTTATCGGCTCACGCGGGAGCCGGGTCTTCCGCTGTGCTGACAGCCGGCTCCCCGGGCGGCCCCGGGCCCTCCGGCCACCTGTCGGGAGCTTGCCGGGATAAATCTCGCGGAATGAAATATTTATTAATTTTGCTAACCAGTGTTGATCTCATAAATTACGCCGACTTTTCCATGAAACGGTTATTAACATCCGAGGCGCTGTGTTAATGGCTTATTGACCAAATATGGGCTAATTAGGCCCGGGAGCGCGCCCTAGCTGGTCGGCGTGGGGCTGGGATGACACCAGGGGCCTATTTCAGATCAGGTGCCCGAGCTGGGGCCTCTGAAAACTGGGGCCACAGGCCGAGGTGGTGGACACCAGCGGCTCTGACCTCTGCGCTGGCCTGGCCAGGAGTCTCCCCAGCCGCGCCTCTCCCTGGCCAGGACAAGGACCCTGCCTGGGTCCTCCTGCCACTGGGGCGCCCTGGGGACAGGACCTGGGGGTGCGAGACCTGGGGATGCGGCAGGAGAAGGTGTGGGGCCCAGGCACGGCTGGGCGCGGCTCTGCCTCTGGGCCGGTCCCTCCGCACCCACGTCCCCCCCCCCCCCCCCGGGGTCCCCAGCGGGGACTCTTCGAGAACGGGGAGGGATTGTACCTCGGGGTCTGCCCCTGTCGGCCCGACACGACCGCGAGCTCTCAGAGCCACAGGACAGCGTGGGGACGCGGGGTCACGCGTGCCCCCCGGGTACACCCCTCGGGCCAGCTGGGCCGCCCGTGACTCCGCCCCGGCCCGGGCTGATTGGACCCGGGCTGGGCACCTTCTCCCACCTGGGCCAATCAGCTGCTCTCCAGGCGGGGGGGGGGGGGGGGGGGCCAGGCACCGCGGCCCCCGGCAGTGGCTGCAGGTGGGTGCCCAGCCCTGGGCAGGCCGCGCGGCGCCCGGGGACGTGGAGAAGCCGAGGGCCGGGAGACAGCCAGCCCGGGGGCGGAGGACGTCGGGCCGAGCGGGGCCACGGCCGCCCTCCTTCGTGGCCTGGCAGGGCCTAGCAGCGCGCCCCCCGCCCCCAGACGCCTGCCGGCTGCACGTCTCTCTGCACGGAAGCACCCCAGCACCTCTCGGCCCCAAGCCGAAGCTGCGGGCGCGGTGCTCGGTGCTCGGTGCTCGCAGGCCTCCCCCTGCTGAGTTGCACGGGTTTGTGCCGAGGCCAAGAACTGTTAAGGAGCGGCCTTGCGGGGCATCATTAGAGTGGCCCGCTTGCTTCCTGGCTTCCGTGGGTGAGGGAGGCGTGACCTGTCGGGGGCGTGGCCGCTATCCGGGGAGAGCTGGCAGGTGCAGGCAGCACCTGGGCCCTTAAGATCGCACTGCCGCTGGGGGGCCAGTTCCCCCTGCTTGTCCAAGGCCAGTTGTTTCTCACTGGGGCACCTCTGAGGCCGCAGCTCTTGGGGCCACCGAGGCTGGCTGCTCTGCCCGTCAGCGGTCCGCCCTTCCCTCCCCAGGCACCAGCTCCGTCTTCCTCAGCTCGCACAAAGACGAGGCCCGTGGGTGGGCGAGAGCAAGGGCACCAGGTTTCTGTCTGGCCTGTGCCCCTCAGCCCTATGGCCATGGGCAAGGCCCAGTGTCTCCTGAGCCTCAGTCTGCGTCTCTGAGAATGGGCACACTATGCCTCACCTCGGGTGTTACTGAAGGACATCATTTACGCGGCGCTCGGGGCAGGGCCCAGCACCCAGTGGGTGCTCAGTGACTGCGGGGCATGGGCCCTGCACTTGTCTAGAGGGGGCCGGCCCCTGAAATGCGGGAGGGAGCCTGCCCCCAGCTCAGGTGCACAGCTGTCGTGGGGAGCTGGAGGGCCTTTGGTGCTTTTCTGTGTGTTCCAAATGTCCCCATGGGTCAAGCTCGGCTGTTAGGCTCTGGGACGCCCATGTGTGGGACAGAAACCTGCCTGCCCTCCTGCCCAACCTCTCGGGCCTGGCTGCTGTGCAGGGGAGGCCTGGTACCCGGAGCCGCCCAGACCGGCCCCCCAGGCCAGCTGGATCCCTGGATGTCAGCCGCCCACACCCCCCGGCCCCTCTACCTCCAGGTCCAGCTCCCGTCCTGTCCCGGACCAGGCCCAGGACGCCACTGCCTCTCTCCGGGTGACAATTAACCAGCCCAGTGAGGAGGCAGCGCCCCACCCCCGCCTGTGCCCGAGACGGGAATGAGAATTTTAATGAGGGTTTATTTTTAATAAAGGTTAATAAAGTTTAATTAAATTAAATTAATAAAGTCCAATATTTGCCAAGCTGCACGCCAGGCCTGGGTGTGCTGGTAGGCGCTGGGATTATGTGTGCCCCGGGGGCGGGGTGGGGGGGCTAGGGAGGAGTGCTGCAGGGCCCGGCTGCAGGGGCCTGGGGAGGAGACCCCCCGTTTGTTCCCAGCGTGGGCTCTCCACTGCCTTTGCCGCTCATGGAGGTACTGGGAGGGAGGAAGGGGTGGCCTAGGCCTGGGGTGCTGCCCCCTTGTCCAGGATCCTCCCAAAGACCCCCCACCCGGGCTGCTCCAGCTCCCATCAGCTCCTTGTTCCGGGGCTCACGGCACCGGATGAATGAATGATGTCATTTGATTCCTCTTCACTTCCACAGCCCTGGCAAGCAGAGTCGTCTGGGCCCATTTTACAGAGGCGGAGACTGAGGTCTGGGAGGTAAAGGGCCTCCCATTTGCCCACCGTGGGGACTCTGCTCCCTCCTGGCAGGTCCTGGGCATCCTTGGGGGTCACAGGAGAGACCTGGTGAGGAAGCTCTATTTTAAGCTTGCTGGCAGCGGGAGGGGAGCTGAGGCTCTTGGAGGAGGGCGTGCAGTCCTCCACGGCTGCCTTCTCTCTGGCACAGCCCTGCCGCGCCGCTCACTCACCTGGTCCCCCGGCGCCTGTACTCTCCCCTCTCGGGCTCAGTGTCTTCATCTGTGAAATGGGCGTAGTGACCTCCTGGGTGGGCTAAGGATCCAGCACAATGCTGCAGGTGCCTGCCTGGGGCCAGACAAGCCCAGCCCCAGACGCGGGTGGGACCATAGCACTGAGCCGGCCCTGGCTGGGAGCCAGGGAGCCAGGGCTACCTCCATGGTGGGAATGGGAGAGGGAGGAGTGAGGGTGCCAGGGAACCTCCTGGAAGCAGGGCCTCTCGGCCTGAGCCCTGGGGAGGGCGTGGCAGAGGCGGGGCCTGCAGGACCAAAGGCCTAGAGGCTGGAAGTGGGCAGCAATGTTTGAGAGCCGCAGGGCTGTTGCAGGGAGGAGGCTGGTGGCCGAGAGCCGGGTGGTGTTGCGCCAAGGAGCCGGCAGCTTTGGCCTGAGTGATGGGAGCTGGCCGAGGCTCTGGAGCAAGGGACTGGGTGGACCTGGCTGCTGGACGTGGGCTGCCCAGGGATCAGGGGTGGCATCAGTGCCTGGTGGAGAATGAGATGTGCTGGGGGGAGCCCGGTGGGCTGCGGGAGGCAGCCCCTCTTTTCCAGGCTTAGCTCCGAAAAAGGCCTTTGCCTTTCCAGGGGCTGGGGACTGAGGACTCCCCCAGACGGCCCAGGTGTCTGTGCCGTGGACGGGCAGCAGCGGGCAGATGCCCAGCCTGGGCAGGCCCCGTGCTTGGTGCCATGGGGTGATGCTGGTGCTCTCCCTGCATGCTCTCCAAACCCTCAGAGGGAGGGGCCGCTGGGCCCATTTTATAGATGAGGAAACTGAGGGTCAGAGGACGCAGTGGCTTGCTCCAGCACCCAGGAGGACCCCTCTCTCCAACCCTGCGTCTCCAGCTCTGGCACCAGCAGCTGCCGGGGGTGGGGGGGTCTCTGGCTCCTGCCCCACGAGGGCCAGGGTCCAGGTTCCGGGCCAGCTGGCCCCCAGCCCCCATGGCACTCGCCCCACGTGGCCCTCCTGAAGCCGGCTCCGGCAGGCTGCCCTGCCTGGGAGAGCGTGTGAAAGATGGCGAAGTGTCATTAAGAAAGGCATTGATTTCCCTATCTCTGCTTTATGCATTTTATTAGCCAAGCACTTTCCCCGGTAACCACTCAGCGCCGCGCTGGCTGGCCAGGGGTCTGAAATGCAGGGGCACGGGAGCTGGAATTGACCGCAGTGCTTATGCGCCCACAACAAAAGGAACAGGCAGAAGTGTAATAAAATGAATAGCACCCAGCACTGGCCATAAAAAAATATCACCCCGGGGACTGGCGCGTTCCTGGGCTGTGAAGTGGCTGCGCGTGGCGGCTTCTGTGCTCGTGGCTTTGGCCGAAACCGCAGCCTCCCCATGCTGGCGCTGGCTTTGGACCACACCTGGACCGGCTGATGGCAGCTGGCACAGTCCTGGCTTGTTTGAAAGATGTGAACTTGATGGTTCAGGGCAAGCCCCCAGACTCAGCGCCATGGGGTGCTCAGGCTATGTGGCCTCTGCCCCCCCAACCCTCCCTGGACCTGCGTCCATGGGATAATCAGCCCCTTCCGTGGTCAGAGAGAAGGGAGGCCATCCTGCCTGGCTCTCTCTGTGCTCCACCAGCTGCTGCAGAGGCAGGGGGATGGCTGAGATGACCTCCTCACCTGCAGAGCCCGATTGGCAGGGCCCTCAAGGCCCCGCATCCTGCTGAGGCCCCTAAGTCCTTGCTGAAGACTGTGCATGACAGACAGCACAGCCTGGGGGCAGAGGGCATGAGGCGTGCTGGTCTCTACAGGATTCTGCCGTCTGTGTGACAGCTGCCGGCCGGGTTTGCAAAGGAAGGTGCTGGCGTGGGGCCCGCGTGCTCATGGGAACCTCACAGAGGTGAAGCCCCCAGGTCCACCGTGAGGTCGCTGGGGGCCTGCAGCTTCTGAGCGCCTGCCCGTGGGGACGGACTTGGCTGGCGTGGGAGGCCCGCAGCAGGTGCTCCGTGGTGCTGGGGGCAGGGGGCGGGGCTTGCTGGTCTGGGGCGTGCCCCCCACTGACACAGTCACCCAACAAAGCACAGAGGCCCCTTGCATGGTGACAGGTTCAGAGAGGGGCGGGCACTGCCCTGGGCTACACCGCCTGCCTCCCCGGGCTCACCGGCAGTGAGGCTTCATGGGGCAAACACCCCAGGGCGTTCAGGGGTGATGGTAGGCCTCTGGGGTCAGTAGTTCTGTGACCCCCACTTCCCAGGGGGTGCAGGGGCAGGGGGAGGGGCTATGGGACTGGTCCTTCTGTGAGGTCACTCTTCCTGCCTGGGGCTGGGTCCCTAGGGAGACACAGTGCCCTAAGTAGGGAGAGGAGGGTGCCCTGTTCAGATCCTGGGCTTCCGTGATCCTCAGTTTTCTTGTCAGCAGAATGGGTGAGCAGAGCAGGTGTCAGTGCAGAGCCACGAGGACTCAGCACGACGACTCAGGCTCACCTCTGCCCGCAGCACCCCCCCACCCAGGTAAGGCTGGGGGCTGGGGGCGGCCTGGAGGAGGCATTAGCCGGGCAAGAGCTGCGGAGGAGGGTCGGGCGAGGACTCAGCGCTGGGAAGCCCTGAGCTGGGGGTTTGGGGCCCAGGTGGGGTACACGGGGCGGGGGCGTGGCGAGGCCGATGGCGACATGGGGCGGGGACAGAAGGGGACACTACACAGAGCCACATTCAGCAGTCTCCAGTGGTGGCTTTCTTATTTGGGATTAACTTGCTCCTTGGGAGACAAGACGGGTTGGGCTCCCTGGCGACGCCCACCCCGCGGCCTGCCTGGGCCCGGGGGAGGGGGCGGGCAGACCCTTGCCCAGCTGGGGAAGCAGCTTGGTTATTACACTGTAACTACTGCGGAATTACCTGATTGTTTATATTTTTCTTGCTACGTAATTGTGTTTGGCCTTAGCATGTAAATTGGGCCGTAATTACTGTATAATTTATAGTTTTTATATCTTATAACAAGTTAGTGTCTAAATCACACACCCCCGTGTAAATACTTTAAAATTATTCAGTAATTACTTATTTACATTATAATTAAAAATAAGTAATTAGCATACATTTACAAAGGATTTACATACTTATTTCTGAATATCAGTTCTTGGCAGTGTTCATGAAATCTTTGGCTGATAATAAAATGGAGGCTGGCGTAGGAGAAGCTTCCACGGCTGGGAAAGGGGGCGTGGGGTGGGCTCACCGGCTGTGCAGGGGGCGGGGGGGGACACTGCCCAGCCCTCAGAGGAGCTTTCCGGGATCTTCTTTCCCGAGGGAATAAAGCCAGGCTTTAGGGGCTGGTGCTGTGGCGCAGCGGGTTAAGCCGCCGTCTGTAGCGCCAGCATCCATATGGGCGCCGGTTTGAGTCCCGGCTGCTCCACTTCTGATCCAGCTGCCTGCTGATGCACCTGGGAAGGCAGCACTTGATGGCTCAAGTGTTTGGGTCCCTGCCACCCACATGGGAGACCCAGATGGAATTCCAGGCTCCTGTGGTCATTTGAGGAGTGAGCCAGTGGATGGAAGATCTCTCTCTCTCTCTGAACTCTGCCTTTCAAAGAGAGACATACATATTTATTATTATTATTAATTTATTTATTTCACAGAGTTAATGAGAGAGAGAGAGAGAGACAGAGAGAAAGGTCTTTTTTTTTTTTTTTTTTTTTTTTTTTTTTTTTTTTTTTTGACAGGCACAGAGTGGACAGTGAGAGAGAGAGACAGAGAGAAAGGGCTTCCTTTGCCGTTGGTTCACCCTCCAATGGCCGCCGCGGCCGGCGTGCTGGGCTGGCGCACCGCGCTGATCCGATGGCAGGAGCCAGGAGCCAGGTGCTTTTCCTGGTCTCCCATGGGGTGCAGGGCCCAAGCACTTGGGCCATCCTCCACTGCACTCCCTGGCCACAGCAGAGAGCTGGCCTGGAAGAGGGGCAACCGGGACAGAATCTGGCGCCCCGACCGGGACTAGAACCCGGTGTGCCGGCGCTGCAAGGCGGAGGATTAACCTAGTGAGCCGTGGCGCCAGCCGAGAGAAAGGTCTTCCTTCCATTGGTTCACCCCCAAAACGGCCGCTACAGCCGGCGCTAAGCCGACCCAAAGCCAGGAGCCAGGTGCCTCCTCCTGGTCTCCCATGCGGGTAGAGGGCCCAAGCACTTGGGCCATCCACCACTGCACTCCTGGGCCACAGCAGGGAGCTGGACTGAAAGAGGAGCAACCGGGACTAGAACCCAGCGCCTATATGGGATGCCGGTGCCACAGGCAGAGGATTAACCAAGTGAGCCACGGCGCCAACCCCAAGACATACATATTTTTAAACCAACCCCCAATGAACCAGGCTTCATGGGCACCATGAGCAAGGCAAGGTGGCCATGCAGAAGTACTTCCGGGTGTCCCGCGAGGAAGAGGCCAGAATTGGGCTACAGCTTGTGCCAGCTCCCTGGTCCCAGGCTGTCTTGACATTGACCTCCTTCAAATAATGACACCAGTGACGGTGACGGCGGCCGTTGCCACTTGCAGGCCACTTGCCACGTGACTTTTTGTGCACTTAATCGCCTCCCTGAGCCCCCTTGGCAAGATGCTTTGTGAACACCCACTTAGCAGGTGGGAAAACAGAGGCTCAAGCCAGCAAGTCAACGTGCCCGGATCTCTAGAGCGCAGAGCCCAATGTGATGGGGACCAGAGCGCCATGTGGGCCATGGGATGGCGGTGAGCCAGGCGCTCCTGCTTGCACCCCTCTGCTCCCAGACCCAGGCACCAACCACACCTCCTTTCTCCAGCCTCGGAGGTGTCCAAGAGGGCACCGCAGTGAGGCCGACTCCCCCACCGCGAGGCACGCCAGACTCTGTCCTGCTCCAAGCACGGCTGTGCGTGTGCAGTCCTCCTGTCACTCTGTCTTGTTGGCAGGTGGAAGGCTCTGCCTCCGTGCAAGGGAGCCTCACCCCTGTGCTGCTCCATTCACAAGCTCAGGGTGGGGCGCTGAGGCTGGAGACGGTTGCACCTGCTGCCGGGTCACCCCGCGTCTCTGCCGCTGCAGGCGCTACCTGGAGGCCCTCAACAGGCTGCTTGGCGCTGAGACCCCCTCCTAGGTGCCCAGTTCCCTAGGCCCCTCCATGCACACGCCTCTTCCCTGGGCTGCTGAAGGAAGTGGGACTTTGATGGCTAGCAGAGCCCCTCTGCATCTTTCAAACCTTTGAAGTAGCACTAGTCCTTGTCCTGGAGTAAAATTTAGTTTTATTATTATTATTATTATTTTTTTTTTTGACAGGCAGAGTGGACAGTGAGAGAGAGAGACAGAGAGAAAGGTCTTCCTTTTTGCCGTTGGTTCACCCTCCAATGGCCGCCGCGGCCGGCGCGCTGCGGCCGGCGCACCGCACCGATCCGATGGCAGGAGCCAGGAGCCAGGTGCTTTTCCTGGTCTCCCATGGGGTGCAGGGCCCAAGCACCTGGGCCATCCTCCACTGCACTCCTGGGCCACAGCAGAGGGCTGGCCTGGAAGAGGGGCAACCGGGACAGAATCCGGCGCCCCGACTGGGACTAGAACCCGGTGTGCGGGCGCCGCAAGACGGAGGATTAGCCTAGTGAGCCACGGCGCCGGCCCAGTTTTATTATTTTTTAATAACTAATTTGGGGAGGGGAGAGAGCAAGTGGGAAAGAGCAAGCAAACCAGAGAGCGATCCCATCCGTTGGTTCACTCTTTTTTTTTTTTTTTTTTACAGGCAGAGTGGACAGTGAGAGAGAGAGACAGAGAGAAAGGTCTTCCTTTTGCCATTGGTTCACCCTTCAATGGCCGCCGCGGCTGGAGCGCTGCGGCCAGCGCACCGCGCTGACCCAAAGGCAGGAGCCAGGTGCTTCTGGTCTCCTATGGGGTGCAGGGCCCAAGCACTTGGGCCATCCACTGCCTTCCCTGGCCACAGCAGAGAGCTGGCCTAGAAGAGGGGCAACCGGGACAGAATCCGGCGCCCCGACTGGGACTAGAACCCGGTGTGCCGGCACCGCAGGTGGAGGATTAGCCTGGCTGGGCCGGGCCAGGGCCAAAGCTGGGAGCTGGGCGCTCAGTTCGGGTCTCCCACGTGGGTGACAGGGGCCCAGTCACTTGAGCTGCTGCCTTGCAGGATGCGCATTAGCAGGAAGCTGGGTCAGGAGCCAGAGCCGGGACTCAGCCCAGAGCCGGGACTCAGCCCAGAGCCGGGACGCAGCCCAGAGCCGGGACTCAGCCCAGAGCCGGGACGCAGCCCAGAGCCGGGACGCAGCCCAGAGCCTCGGTGGAGGTGCGTACGTCTCAGCTGCTGCGCAGAGTGCTCTCTCCTCCTAAAATTCCTTGCGATTTTGTATCCTGGCTGGGGGCAGGGACTGCGGGGGCAGGCGCAGGGCACGGATGCGGTGACGGTCGCTGTGGGATTGCGGGGTCTTGTTGCTGGCACAGCCTCTCTCTCAGGTCCTGGAACTGGGGCGGAGATGGTGTTTCCCGGGGCGGTGGCGGGGGGTGGGGGGTGGGGGGGAGGGACCTGGCCTCTGCCTCCTCCTCCTTTCTTCCTGTTTGTAGAGACCTAGAGAGGAAGCGTGGCGCCTTGCCTGCTGGCCCCCTGCCTCTCCTGACCCCAGGAATCCCGGCACCTGCTGTGAGGACCCTGGCGCCCCCTCAGCCGTGTTGCTGCCTCTCCTGCGCAGGGCAGGAGCTTTGAGGCTCGCGGGCAGCTGGTGCCTTGGGCCTTACGGGGTCCACTCTGGTGCGCTCCCTGCTCTGAGCCCTTCACCTCCCACTCCCCCGTCAGCTGGGCATGGCCATGCCTGCACCTCCATCTGAGGGGAGCCCTCTGCCCAGGTTTCCAAGAGCCATCCGGGCAGTCCCAGGGCCCCGAGATCCTCTCCTTGGCTGGTGAACCCAACTCGCTCAGTCTGACCTAGCTATGGGGCCGGCAGCATGGGGGCCTGCTCTCAGCAAGGACAGCTGTCCTGTTGGAGGGGCAGCCGGGGGGAGGCGGCAGGAGTCCTCCCACTTCTGCAGGTGCCCTGGGGGCTCCGGAGTTCCGGTTTCTCAAGCGCATCTGCCTGCAGGCCCCATCCCGGGAAGCCAGAACCCACTCCTTCCTGCCCTGCCATGGGAGGACCACCAGGGCTCCGGCTCGAATCCGCCGAGCTTCTGCTCTCCTGACCACTGCCCACGCCTTGACCTCGGCCCAGGCTCCCTCCGGCTCCAGGAGCCAAGGGTTGCTCTCAGCGCTGCCCGGAAGCCCCTCCAGCTTTCACACTCACTTGGCCCAGGGATCGACTGCTCTGAACTCGTCATCCCCCTCCTTGGAGCATCTGCTCAGAGAACCCACCGCATTCAGCAAACCGCTGAGTCACCGCAGAGGCTTGGTCGGCTGCAGGTGGAAGACGGCGGGCCCGCGCGTGCCACGGACCATCAGTTAGTTCCCCATGACCGCAGAGATGGGGTCACCTGTAGGCAGCCGGCAAGCGCCCGTCTTCAGAGCAGCCCGGCCACTCCACCCTGCGCTGCTGGGCTGCGGCAGTGCTGGTTTGGCTGAGATCCGGAGCAGCAGACACGGAAAGAGGGTGGAGCAGTCGGCTCCCCCCAACCGCATAGCCGAACACCTGCCACAGGCTGTTCTAAGGAACAAGGGAATTTTTGGCCCATGGATTTGGAGGGTCTCAGTCCAAGACTGGGTGGGCGCCGCTGGCTCAGCCATGTGGGGAGGGCACTGGTGGGGCCGTGTGGAGGGGGACTCGGCCGGCATGCCAAGGAGGCAGGGAGAGGGGCTGGGCCCAGTCCTCGATGAGGGCTACCTTCCCAGGGCACAGTCCGGGACCCCAGGACCTCCCCTCGTCCCACCTCCCAGGCACAAGTGCACCCAGCTCCCACCCTCTCAGCACCCCCAGTTTAGGACATTCTGTATTCGAGCACCCGCGTCCTGCTCAGCCCACAGCTCAGGGATTCAGGCTTGCTGAGGGGCAGCGCTGGGGGCAGGGGCTCCTAGGTGAGAACGTGTCCAGCCGCAGCCGGGGCCCCTGCGGCACCCCAGGGCTGGCCAAGGCAACAGCCCCGCTACGCCAAGGCAACAGCCCCGCTGCTGGCTGCCAGTCAGTCCCTGGGGTGAGGGCACCTCCCCGGAGGAGGGGTTGCGGGTGGACAGTGGCCACGGCTTCTGGAGATAAAGTCCGGGCCCAGGGCACCCATGGCCCTCAGCCCTTCCACACCCCCACCCCTCCTGGGAGCCCAGAGCCAGGCCTGTTCGCTCTCTCTCTCTCTTCCTTCATTCTCCTCCCCCATGCCCGACTGAGAGAGAGCTGGCTCCAGACCCCGAAAGCCTATGTGTGTGAACAGGTCCTCGGTGGACAGGCTGGGGAGGGGCATGGGAGGGGGTTTGGGTAGGACGACAGCCAACGGGAGGGCCCTGGAAGGAGCTCCTTGGTCATAGCTATGTCCCCTGCCCTGGTCTAGGGACGGCAATAGGCCATCCCCTACTTTACCGGGCAAAGGGCTGAGGGTGACCCCTGAGGGACGGGCGGGGTGAGAGGATGCAGACCGCTGAGGCCGCAGGGCCCCATGGAAGAGCCCAGACTTGGGGCAGCCACAGGCCCACTCCTGACTGGCACTGACTCGGGTTCCAGCCGGGCTACAAGCTCTCCCCGGCCCAGTGTTATCCGCTGGGGCACAGTGGATGAGCCTGGGGGTGGGAAGGAGAAAGCCCTAAGCTGAGGGGGAGCCTGATTGGCCTGGGGAAAGCCTCGAGGGCAAGCGCCGTTCCCAAGCTGTGCCGGTCCAGTCTTCAACAGCGCCGCCGTGTGGCCGAGAGAAGCACCAGCAGCTGGTGCCGTGCACTTGCTATTCCCTTTTGGAAGACGGCCTTATCCCAGAGGAAGATTCGGGACGTTTTACCCACGGGGCATGTGGAAACCCAAGTTATCGATGGAAGAATGAAAGCGATTTGGCCACATTTACAACGAGTTACGGCGTGTCCTACCGTGTGTGTGTGATTTGGGGTGTAAGATAGGTGTGTGTTCTGAATAGTTTTGGGTTTCTGAATGCGGACTGAATTACAGTGCAGGGAGCTGAATGGGGCTTTGAGGATTCTCCATGGAATCTCTCCCGTTGTTTCTGGAGTGGGCTTTAGAGGAGAGGGGCCAGTTGTCCAAGGTCACACGACAGGTCACCCCGCTGTGCCTGCTTCCACTCCTCACACCTGACCCAGCCATGGTGCTCTGGTGAAAACCAGGGAGTCGCACGGGTACAGCGCTGCTCGCTGTGCTACACAGCCCACGTGGAGGCTCCCAAACCTGCAACAGTCCCCCAGGCTTTCTGGGTCTTCCATGATCTTGACACTTCCGAAGAGGAGTTCGCCATTTGTTTCTGTGTCAGTTCCAGTTTTGGCTCTATAAGCAAGCACGTCTTGCCAGCGCTTCTGTGGATAAACTCAAACGGGCCCCCACACACCCATGTCCTCCGAGTGCGCATGTGTGTGTGTGGGAGGGTGTATGCAAATATCTGGTCACGAGAATGCCCACTGTGCATGGATGTTATAACTTACATATGTGTGCGTATAAAATAAAATAAATATTTAAGAGGCAGCAAGAGAGACAGGGAGAGCTCCTACTCGCTGGTTCACTGCCCCAGTGCCTACAACACCTGGGACTGGCCCAGACGGGAGCTTGGCACGGGGACCTCACTCCAGGGCCCCCACGTGAGTGGTAGGAGCACAGTTACGTGAGCCGTCACCGCCGAGTCCCAGTGTCTGCATTAGTGAGAAACCGGAGTCGGGAGCCAGGGCTGGGGAGTGAACACAGGTGTGTTCATCGCAGGCTAACTGCCCGGCCCTAATCTTCGTGTTTCAGAAAAGCCTGCGCATTGGTGAGCTTTCTGTTCCTGCACTACAGATACCCGCGGAAGGAAGGAGTTGGTTTCGGCTTTCCAGTTTTGGAGGTTCACAGGCCAAGATGGGGCAGCCCTGGTAGCTGGTGTCTGATGAGGGTGGCAGGTGCTGTCTGACATGGTGCAGAGAGGCTGAGGCCATGTGGCTAGCTCCGCCCATTGATCTGGGCCTGCGTCACTTCCGGTCCGAGGCCGTCAGGGCCCCGTGCCCTTTCTCCACCACTCTCCTCTCTGGCCTCGCGAGCTTTGGAGCCACCTGCTCCACCAGGCCCAGCCACCTGTCAGTGGGAGGCCAGCGGCCTACACTGGCTTCATGGGACATTTGCAGGGCCAGTGACGTCTGCGGGGGGCGGGGGCGGGTTGGTGGGCTCTGCTATGCATCTCTCTGATCCAGTAACCGCTTAGCTCTGGGTCAGCACGAGGAGGCCTCGGGGGCCTGATGCGATGGTTTGTCCGCGGGGTTGATCAGGGAGCAGGCACCTGCTTCTCAGGCCCGTGGGGAGACTGCGGGCTGCGGCGTGGGCGGGCCCCACAGGTGAGTTTTGGTAGAAATGCCCAAGAAGTAGTGACTGTTGGGGGTTGGCGCCGGTTCGAGTTTCTGCGGCTCCACCTGCGATTCAGTTCCCTGCTGGTGGTCTGGGGAAGCAGTGGAGGATGGCCCGAGTGCTTGGGCCCTGCACCCACGTGGGAGACGTGGAAGCTCCAGGCTTCAGGCACAGCCCTGGCCGTTGCGGCCATTTGGGGAGCGAACCCGCAGATGGAGGACCTCTCTCTCTGTCTCTGTCTCTGTCTCTGTCTCTCTCTCTCTCTCTCTCTCTTTTTTTTTTTTTTCTGAAAGAGTTACAAAGAGAAGGAGAGATAGAGTGAGGCCTTCCATCCACTTGTTCACTCCCCAAATGGCCACAACGGCCAGAGCTGTGCTAGGCAGAAGCCAGGAGCCAAGAGCTTCATCTGGGTCTCCCACGTGAATGCAGAGGGCCCAAGCATTTGGGCCGTCCTCTGCTGCCTTCCCAGGGGCATTAGCAGGGAGCTGGATCGTAAGTGGAGCAGCCGGAACTGGAACCAGTGGCTGTATTGGATGCTGGTGGAGACTTAACCTGCTGGGCCACAGCACCAGCCCCCGTTGGATCATTCCTTAATGAGGATTTCTGGTGCGTTCCATGGCTAGTCCCCTCTCTGTAAGGTTTTGGCAACTTTAGCTACTTGAGAGAAAACAATGTTGGTTGTACCCAGTCTGTGGGGGGTGGGGTGGGGACAAAGAGAAGCTGGGGGGGAGGGCGAGGCCTGTGGGATCAGGCTGACCACAGCGGCCCCCACCCACCTCCTGCCCATGGAGCCGCGGGGGAGGCGGGATCTGTGCCCATAGTGCGGAGCCTGCAGGGGACACTGAGGCCTAGACTCGGGTGACGCTGGCTTCGGTGTCCTTGTCTGTGTGTGTGTGTTGGGGGGGGGGCTTCAGCCTGGTGAGCCCAGCCTTGCTCTCAGCAGCCCAGCGGGCAGGCCCCTGCGTTCCCGCGTGAACAACAAGGAATCGTAGGCTCCCAGGCCGGAAGGGGCTGGCGGAGCTGCTCTGCCACAGCCCAGTGGCACGGAGCTCAGGACAGGGCCCACAGTGCCAGTGGAAGCGGCCTCCACCTCTGCTGGGGGTCCCCGCGGCACTGGGGACGTGAACTTGGGAGGAACGCGGGCTGTGCACCTGGAGGTGCCTGTGAAGTCGGGTGGATCCACGTGTCTACAAAAGCGTGGAGAAGAATCTGGAACCACACATGCTGGACTGGCAGGCGCTACCTCCAGAGAGAAGCGGGATGCAGGGAGGAGGTGGCCTGGGGCCCTGGGCCTGCGTCGCTGTAGCGACCGTGTGTGGGCGCCCCTCCTGTGTGATGAGGAATTCCTTACAAAGCTGGAACAGGCTGAGAACGGGCAGACAGCTTGGCCCAGGGGCATGGCCCAGGGCGGCTTTCCTGCCACGCTGGTGGGGCTCCGCTGAATCCGCTGGCCCCTGGCAGCAGTGCCGTCTGTGTTTACCCCACAGGTGCCTGGGTGGGTGCATGAATGCTGGGAGCTGTTCGGGAGAGCACAGGTCGGGGAGGTGTGATCGCCTCCCTCTGTCTAGCTGACATATCTCTGTGGATGCTGTCTAGGCTCCCTCCTGCTTCCTGGGGGCTGCTCCTGGCTTGGGGCTCCTAGGAGGGTTTCTTGTCAGTTACACCCCCCACCCCCACCCCCACCCTTGGCTGCCCCATCACGTGCTCTTCCCGGCCCATGCAGCTGCTCCTCCTCCCTTTGCCTTTCTTAGATTTATTTTTTATTTACTTGAAAGGCAAAATTCCAGAGAGAGAAAGTGAGAGAGAGAGAGCAAGCGAGAGAGAGAGAGTCTTGTATCCACTGGTTCACTCCCCAGATGGCTGAAATGTCTTGAACTGGGCCAGGTCAAAGCCAGGAGCCAGCAGCTTCCTCTGGTCTCCCACGTGGGTGCGGGGGGCCTCCGCGGCTTTTCTAGGCCATTAGCAGGGAGCTGGATCGGAAGTGGAGCAGCTGGGACTGGAACCGGCGCCCTGCATCACAGGTGGAGGCTGCACCTGCTACACCATGGCGCCGGCCCTGCCTTTGCCGGTCGGCCTTGTCTTTCCCTGAGATCCTTGCTGACTCGCCCTCCCGGTCCTCTCATGCCCAGGGAAGAATCTCATCTGTCTGTCCCCCGAGGCTGTTCAAGGGCGCGGGCAGCCACGCAGAGCTCACAGAGCTTGTGTAAGTTGGCAGTGGGGAGTGAA